TATTATATTTATAATTTAATTCTTAAAAACAGATGATGAGAGAAATATATTATATTTAGTTTCGTGCGATAGGATGGTCTCTCTTGTTCGAACATTGTATATCGCTGCGAGGGAAACGCAATTACGCTTGCAGCATACCGAAGTTTCTGTCGAGAGGATGACGCATTGAAATTCATCGACTTTTTTCTCGTGCCGTGAAAAAAGTATCGATCGTGCGGAACGAAAGACTACTTGACAAGATGTAGCCGGGAATATGAAATAATGACGCGTGATACGGAGGGGTAGATATTACAGCTTTAAAGAAAATCGCTTTTCGCGGCGATGAGGCGTAACGAATACGCGCGTTCTTTCTTTTCTTTCTTGCGACTGGCGTATCGTAAGTGTGCTTTTATGTAAAAGATCTTGTATCATTATTTGAATTTATTTGCTGTTGACACCGATATCAAATGTTTTTTTAACTTTTTTTCAAGAAACTGTGTTACAGAACATTCCGAATCTACTTTACGACGAATATTCGATGAAAAATTCTATTAAAAATTTTTTAGAATGTAAGCAAAAATTTTGCAACAATTTTATACTCTTGTTTAATGAAAAGCAATTATTTTAACATGCTAGAAATTGATAGATTCAATCAGCACAGGTAGAAAATAGCGCTAAGTATTTATTTGATATCACGCCAAGCGAATGAAAGCAGGATTACTTGAAACGTCGCTTTAACGAATCACTCGTTCTCACTGCCGTATCACTGTTTCGAGATCCTTTGTACTTCGAAGCAAATGAAAATGTACAACTTTCCGGGAATAGGCATTTCTTTCGCAGAGTAATCGAAGAACGTGGTTCTCGTCGCTCCGCTCCAGGAAAATCAATGTTATTCAGGGAGAGTTCCTCGCCGAGAGGAGGAGTTTAGTGTCGAGTGTTCAGTGTGACGTTACCTGAGAACAATTTGATAAAGAGACATTTAATTCAGCCGCTTACGCGCGCACATTTCCACGCCTGTTTTTCTCTATTTTTTTTTCTTTTATTTGCTCGATGGACTGCAAACATTCGACGTCAATCAAATTTTCGCCGTATATGATTTAAGCGAAATAGGCTGTCACGCGGTGCGCGTCCGATTTACGTGTCCTCGCACATGACCGATGGTCATGTATAAATGCGCGCTATAAATACTAAAATAACAGATTGATTTATGATCGCGCGTATCTTTTTTGATTTACGGTACCTTGCATCGTCCCGGCGCGCCGTGTGTGCGCAGTTTATTCCACCTCTGGCTAAAACACACGTATTTTCCTCTCTTTGCGGAGATGCGCTCTGGGCAGATGAATTAAAATTTCCAATTGACATGTTTGCAGAATATTGTGTGAAACATTATATTTTCCCAGTGCGCCAGATATTTCACTGCGCACATCAAGGCTAGATATATCCGTGCCGGCTAATATTTCTCGATTATTCACTCTTTTTCTCGTCCGTTAGAACCGATTATCCGGATTTAAACGTGGAAAAATGTGTCAGTGATACATTCATTGCAGCAGTGTCGCAATTCTCGTAATTGAGTCTGTATATTAATAACGACGGGATAACAAGCGATATTTTTTTCCCTGCATTTTCTACCTCCATTCTTCTCGAATGATCAGCTACGTCCTAAACTCTTTCATAAACGCACAATGCTATTATCTCCGCGTTTCGCAACACGTTTAATTTTCCCCGCTGCTTGACTCGATAACCGTGGCT